TGGTGGTTTTGAACTGCTGACTTGGCAGTTAGCTGCCCAAGATGTAAGCAAATGTTTTGAAAATGATGATGCAACCAATGTGCTTGACACAATGGATGGATGTATGGATTGTGATAAGAGCTGTATGAGCCCCCAATAAAATGATTTTAAAAATAAATTTTAAAAAGCTCACCCAGATCTCGCACCTCTGGGTAGGTTTAAACTGCCACCTTCTCCACTAGTAGTTGACCACTTAAAATGTTTGAATTAAGCTAACCCCAATGTAAACATACACTTCCATCTTCACGGATCTTAGGTTTTTCTGTTGTAGAATCGATCTCTCTTCCATAATGTTCTCCTTATACACATAATGATTATAGAATGTTTAATCTCTTGGGTTGAACAAGGAGACTTCAAAAAATATTTGGAGACCATCTATCATCTTTTAATTATATTTATCCGCTTTTTGAAGCCTCCTTATGTTTTAAATAGGGATTATGTTTCCTTCTTTTTCTTGTCTAAGGAAAGAGGGTGCAAACTGCTCTCATAATAGAATTCTCCACCCGGCATTATTATACAGGCTCAAGTCATAGGAAACTCAAATCACTCGGTAAATCCTTGGCCCATGCGCACAGTTCAGGGCAGAAACTTAGGGACGTCATTGACTGTGCTGCACGGAGGGCATGTCTCTAAGTGCACAGCTACAAGATCTCTGATTATGCGAACAAGGTAATCACTGGGGTGAGCCGGTCCTATGGTAATAATGATCATCTCGTCCCTTGGATTTCTTTGTGTTTTTAACTCAGTGAGTGACAGCTCATGTCTTTACACCTTCACATGAGAATACCAATGCTTAGTACTTTCCTCTCTAATCTCTCCACCCCACAGACACATCTTCCAGTACCATACTTAGCCTCATGGTACATGGCTTAAAACAGTTGAGTGATCATGGTGCTTTGTAGCTTGAATTGGCGATCAGGTAATTACCTGGCCTGTTATAGAACGGGGTAAAGTTAACATTGATTTATTTGCCTATAATAAGAATGCCCCCCCAAAAGTACACAAGGCCAGCATTCCAGAATGCCTGCCTCTAGCTACTCTATCACTTTATCAGTACCTCCTACAGGCAGATGTCTTCAATAGTCTGGCCTCTGAATGAGGCTGGGAGGTGCTGCCCTCCATGAGCCTCTGCTGTCACAGAAACTCATATTCAGATCCCGGCATCACCTGCTCCATCACTGTCTGACTGCAGTCAAGGGCAATGTTGACACCTTGTTAGTTGTTCATTTACCATCAACCCAACATGAGGACAAAATGTGACCACAGAATCATTTTAATATATACTCTAACAACAGTTGATGTGCTTTACCAGAAACTCATCAAGAATCAGTGCTCAGCGTGCTAATCAGTCCTAATGATACTAATTACAAAATGGAATCAATCAAAACAGTATTCTCATGGATCACACATTTTTAAAATCCTGCCTTTTTACTGACCGTCCAGTGGTGGAACCAAGCAGCTGAAGGCAGACACAGTAGCATTCTCCAGGACTGGGCACGGAGCACCACACACCACAGCTGAGATATTCCCTGGAGAAAATCCAGCTCCAAACACATGCATAAGCCTTCCTCCCAGGCAACCTTTGAAGACAAAATTGTAAGTTGATGATCTATAATCAAGCCTCTGTGAGGCAAAGCCCTCTTTCTCAACTCAAAAATCAACCCCTGCTTTCTTGTTGTTCATCCTTCTTCCCAAGCCCTCTGGAACCCACACATTGGCTGAGGTCTCTGATAACCTCAGTTTCCTCTTCGCCAAAGTTCTGGCCTCTGGGACCTGGAATCTGTTTTCTCTGAGCAAGTTCACTTTCAACAGCCTGTTATGTGAACAGGTATTCTTTTAACGTACGAATCTATCATTGCCATCGAGTCGATTCTGACTGAGAGACCGAAGAGGACAAGGTAGAACTGCCCCTGTGGGTTTCAGAGATGCTCACTCTCCTGGAGTAGAAAGCCTCCTCTTTCACCGCGTGGAGTGACCGGTGGTTTCTAATCACTAGCCCTGCATTTAGCAGCCCCGTGCATAACCCACACTGCCACCTATGCCAGGTACAGTTTTAAAGTCCTTCACCGAGAGCCGAAAGCTTCTCTGGCCACTTATGCCCTGGCCCATGGGTATGTGTTTATAGTGGTTCTCAGGAATCCCTCCAGAATTTTCTAGGAACTTTTTAAATATATACAATAGGATCATCCTGTACATATTATTCTGCAAGATGTTTGGTGGACTTAAAAGTATATGTTAAATATTTTCCCCAATCAATTGATCTAGATCTAGCTCATTCTTTAAAGCTATTTAAAACGCCATTACATGAGTAAGCCACAATGTTCTGGCAGTTTTCCTACTGATGAATATTTCAATGGCTTATCCTTTTTCAAATTTTGGCCAAAATTAATAGTGTTGTCATGGACTGTGCACATTTAAGGGGGAGCATTTGCACCTGTTTTGTAACAGTTCGTTACAAACTCGCAAGCGCTCAGTCATAGGAAAAGTGCATTTTTAAACTTTGATGGGTATTGTCAGATGTCCTCAAAAACAATTTTGCTCTAGGTAATATGGTGTGAGGGATCTTGTCTCAAAAAAAAACCAAAAAAAAAACATTCTGCTTCAGTCAGAGAACCAGAAAAGGAGTCATTGTTGAAGCCCCACTTTCACCAGCACTCTCAGACCCGTGGGACCCTCTAGTCCACAGTAGGGTTTCAACCACCAACTGCCTCAGGGTCCAGCCTCCCTGGCACTCACACAGCCACCTGGCAAGCTCGTGAATGCCATTTTTGGAGAAAGGGTCCATTTCCTATCTCTGCTCAGTACTTTAAATCATGACCCACAGAGAGTAGAAAGAGCACTTTAGGAATCTTCAGGTCCAAGCCCCTTTGTCTAATAAAGGAATCTGAGGCTTATATGGACAGCATGGTCTGTGTTACCCCACAAAGTGAGTGATCATCATAGAACCCAAGCTTTCCATCCAGCAGCAGCCAGAGAAAGAAACAGCATGGTCAGTGCCTCATCAGTCTAAGATTCGAGCTCCTGGATTTCTTCCAGGAAATGTCTTCTATGTTAGGGGCACCAAAATCAAAAGTATCATTGGGGAAGAAGAGGTAAGGCACATTTCAATATGGATATCTTTGCTTTTTTTATGGCGAGTCTTAGTCTATAAGGCATTGTCTGCCATTGTGAATGAGTGTCATTGAAAGTGTTGCCCTATCTCCAACCCTCCTTGTTTGATAATGTCCAGCCATGCAAGTCTTTCATCTAAACATGTACACTTTCCTTTTCTCAACAGTATTTTAAATTCTGTAGCATTGACTAAATTAATGATACTATAGAAGAATCAACATATGCTCCATAGGGATATTTATAATGTCCCCCAAGGGTGTCTCTAGAGAGGACAAGGGACATCTATAAACCATCGATACGAGAACAGATTTTGAGCTTGCACTTAATCACCGACCTAGTTCAAGAACAATTAGTTCTGATGACCTAGCCCTACTCAATACTCACCCTCACGAAAAAAATCACTGAAAATATGGTTGCTATACCAAAGTATGCTGAAGAAATAAATACAAAGTGTATCAGATAGCTACTGGTTATCAGAAAGAATAGGGTCTGGAGTCAAAAAGCTTTTCTTAAAACCAGCAGACATCCAAGTGAGACATTAGGTAAGTCCACTCATAGGAAGCACACCAGCCTATGTGATCCAAAGACTGTAAATAATAAAATCCAAGATTCAAGGAAGGAATAGTATTAGAGTTTAACTGCTGACCAACTAGTTTGCAGAAAGCTATGGATGACAGAGAAAACTCGAAATCTGTTAACAGAGTCCCCATGTGCATAAAACCTGTGGTGAATTCCCTCTGACCACTGATCAGGGACGTGAATAAACTTGTTATCAGAGTGCATTGCAGATGTAATTTAAACCTGATCATTTATTCTTCCTTTCAACCCATTTAAAATTTTTCTAGTTTTATTATTTTCTGCTTGCTTTTGATTGAGGTTTTTGTGTTATATTTTCTTAATGTTGTTCAGTTTGGGTTATTTTTGTTTGTTTTTTATATATTGTTCTTTATGTGAAATCCAGGAGAGGTCATTTTAGAGACTATTGTTCCTGGATTCGTAGTTTCTTAGGATTATAACAAGGAAGTTGGGGGCAAATAATAATAAATACAATAATGAGGAAAACGTTCTAAAATCGAATATTGTGATGATTGACCAACTCTTTTCAGAATGTTTATGCCATTGAATTGTATGATATATAAATTATGTGGCAATAAAATTGCTATTTTTTTATTTCAGTAATTCTAAAAGGGGGAAAATTCAAATGCAATGGCACTGTGCCATGGGCTTATTACTGATAAAGTCTGATTTCTGAAATGTTATAAACTCATAAAACTCTATATTTCATAGGTTTAAAATAATGCAAATTGGGTTATTGACCTAAAGACAGATGAAGTTAGATTGTAGTTAAATGATGAGCACACATGTTATTTGAGTTAAAACAAATTAAATCAGGTTCCTATATTAGATTAAATGAAAATCAAACACGTAGAGAATATACGCAATTTCCTTGATAAAAATCTTGGAGGTGGTGCACAAAAAGACACCTCTCAAAAGGAGACCAAGATGGCAAGAAATCAATTACTCTTATTTCTCCTTCTAACTTTCAGACGACTGATTCCCTCCCTCTTCCAAGTGCGCGTCCCTTCTCATCTGTCCCCTCTGCTTGACTTATGCTGTGATCTGTGTTCCCAAAAGATGAGGTCAAGCCCCACCCTCTACACCCAGCAACAGGACCTGTTTGGGGAAATGAGTTTTTGCTTTGAAAACGTTATCGGGTAAAATGGTCACATTCTACCAGTCAGCTGGATCCTAAGCCTAAAAAAAAAAAAAAAAAAGATGGGGTCTCCTAAAAACAGTAGAAGGGTCCGGAAAGCAGATGTACCCACGGAGAAAATGGCATGTGAGGGTCTATCTAAGCGCAAAAGAACACCAAGACACGCCTGGGGCTGCAGGAGACTGAGAGAGGCAAAGGGTACCGGAGACCAAACTACAAAGGTTGGCCCTGTGGATACTTCTCCTTCAGACCCCCTAACCTTCAGAATGGCGAGGAGATCAAGTTCAGAACTCTAAAGTGTGTGGCGTTTCTGTGATGCAGAACCAGGGCATGGGGACCCTTACCAAAGTTCTCAGTCACGGCAGTCACAGTCGCTCTGGTGGTGAGCAGGAGAGCAGAGGAAGCCCACCCTCTCTGGTGGTCGTAGCCGCTGACTCGGTACTCCCCTGCAGGAAGCGAGGGCACCCTGCAACGGAGAACCGTGTGGTTCCCGGAGACACCCACGCAGGGTGACAGCCCGATGAAAACGTCCATGTGCGCTGCTCCTGTGATCTGCGCCACCACCAAGGTTAAGACATCATCCATCTGAGACACAGAGAGCAATTCCGGGGTGACGGCCTGGCTGTAACCAATGATGCCCAGGCGGTACCAGCGCCCATCTGCTTCTATCTCCAAGACAACGGAGCCATTGCCTGCGGGGACAATGCACTGGATGGCGCTGGCGCTGATGTTCACGGAGAGGCAGGCCTGCTGGCCCACGTGGACAGATGTGGCCTTCTGCCCTCGCAGGGCCGTTCCCTCCAAGGTCAAGAGGCCTCCACCACGTACGCCGAAAGTCTTGGGGAAGTAACGAGACACTTGAGGAACAATGTCGAAGCGTCTGGAAACGTTCCTCCAGCAAGCATACCCATTTGTCTTGTGAACCACTGACAGGAAGTGCGGGCCGGGAGGCAGGTCACTCACCCGGCACGCCACCTGGCTTGTGTTCCAGAAACTGACTCCACAAGGTATGTGGTCATCCACAAACACCATCAATTGGTCGGAGGTGGAACCGAACCTCTGCCCCTGAATCAGCACCGTGGTGAGGGGCCCGCCGGTGGTCATGGTGAAGGCACTCACGGTGGGAGTGGTCTCTTCCCACATGAAGAAGGTACAGTGCCCCTGGCAAGTGCTCAGCAGCCCATTGACCAGAACGGTGACGTTCAGGGAGATGGAAGCTCCAAGCAAGGGGTCGTCCACCCGGGGAACCCGGCAGCGGATGGTTTGGTCACTCCAACCCAAAATGGTACACGTTAACAGGCCGGAGAGACCCACCCGCACCACCTTCCTCCTGGAGCGGAGCACCAGGCCCCTCACCACGATCACCGTCCCTCCACAAATGGAACCCTGTGCTGGGGAGATGGCAGTTATCCGAGGTGTCACCACCAGTCGCTGGGCCACCGCAGACATGTCAGCAAAGCCCATGGGCCGCTGGCGGACCTTTAGAGGATAGACGCCTGCCTCCACGGCGCGGAAGGGAAGGGAGCATCCGGCCAGGCTCCCGTTGCAAGATCGGGCCTGGAGCTCACAGTGCAAGCCCCCCAGAAGGATCGCCGAATGGGCGACGTGGCTCCCTTCCACACAGAGCTGCAGGCCGCTGCCCGTGAGGTCTGCTCGCAGGGCGGTGACCACGGGGGTGGCGGCTGCTTCGTACAGGAAGGTGAAGTTCTTCTCTGTCGAACCTGGGGACGGTCTCTGGGGGAAGGACAGCTGGCCCATCCGGACGTGCACGGGGGCGGCGACAGCGAGGGCATCCGCAGCGGACCGTAGAGGGGCCGGTGGGGTCTCACAGTAGATGGTGGTCTCTGTTGAGTTCACGATATCACAGGAGCGATTGCCCACTAGGACCCGCACCGAGGTGGGGTCCTGAAGGAAGCCTGCTCCTGAAATGCTCAGGATGGTTCCGCCTAAAGCAGGAATATCGAGGAACAAAATGCAAAAGTGAGATTCAGAACCAGCAATCCACAGTGCCTATGTAAGCCCCAAGGAGAGTGGAAGGTAGGCTAGGTGCTAGGGGGCCCTCAATTCTCTCACCTGCCCCAACAGCCTCAAATGTGCCCCCATTGTATAAGACCATGCGGGCTCCAATGCACATCACTGAACAATGTGAGGTGCTCTGTAGGAGAGGTGTAGAGTCACTGAGACCAACTTTTCAGTGAATGTTGTCTTATGTCCTGAAAGGGCCTGTTTCTATTCACTAATGAAGTATCAAAATCCTTGAAATCATCTGATTCACTACTATAGTAGCATCTACTATACTTTACGATGCAGGACTCCCGGTGGCATAGTGGGTGTCCATTGGGCTGCTAATTGCTAGGGCAGCAGTTTGAAAGCACCAGGCTTTCTACCCCCAGAAAGAGCCCGGTGAAGAGTCTATGAAATCCACAGGGGAAGTTCTACCTGGTCCTGCAGCACAGCCATGAGTCAGAATTGACTCAGTGGAAGTGAGTGTTTTGGTTTTATGGTTTTGTTCTGTTGTTTTTTTAATACTAATTACAATGGCCTCATATGTTTGCTGGACATGGGGTAAGGAAAACCATAGAAACTGTGATGCATTTGAGCTATGGTGTTGCCAGAGCAGACTGCCAAAGGAACAAATACATTTATCTCGGAGACAGTACCGCCACAGAGCTCTTTAGAAGCAAGCCTGGCGAGACTTAATCTCATGGATTCCGGCGATGTTATCGAGAGAGACCGTCCCTAATAAAGGACATCATGTTTGGTAGAGAGGCAGTTAAAATGAGGATGGCCTTTGAGGAGATGGATCGACCCGTGGCTGCAGCAAAGGGCTCTCACACAGGAGTCATTGTGAGGATGAAACAGGACCAGGCCGTGTTTGCTTCTGTGGTCCATAAGATTGTTGTGAGTAAGATTCGATTTTACAGCACCTAGCAACAGCATGAAATTGTGATTCCACACAGGGATTCAATTTATACATTAATTTAAGAAATCAAATTCTTTGAAATATACGTATCCATCATACTGTAGAACTGATATTGGGATGTATTATAGGATATGTATGCTATATGTTAGATCATGAATTGTTTTTTTTAAAAGCATCACTGAGTCATGTCTGTGGATTTCCTGCTATCTTCCTAGGGTTTTGTCTTGCTCTCTGGGCAAGGAACCATAGACCTACACCTGCAGGGAGGAGGTTGCATTAATTGACTGCGCACATAACCCGGTCTTTGGCAGAGCCAAGCATCTTCTGAAGAGGCCTTTTTTTAGACTCAAAAAGGGATCATGTGGTATTTCTCAAGTGATCCCAGTGATTTCTCAAATGCAAGTGCATGAATTCTTTGGTGATTGTAGAGAACGCTCCCTGTTTATCAAGCCCTTACTTTTCCCATCGGGTTTCTAACTCTTTCTGGGCCATTCATCTGTGTCCTGAGATAAAAACAAACATGCCAAAGACTGCTCCCTTTCTCACATAACCGAAAACACTAACAGAGGAAACCATCCTCGGGTTTTTCTAATATCTATCCGAGATGTGCTATTCCACAGCCTCTTTCCATTAGGAAAAGGAAAATTAGGCACATGTCTTTTTCATAAACTTTCATTTACTGAGGTGACTGGGCTAAGGAATCAGCACGTGTCCGGACCCTTCGAAGTCCACCCCTGAGTTCACAGATCACGAAGAAGGCTACTCCCTTCTGCTCTTATCACCGGCCTCACTGGCTACTGCTGGCTTGCTGCAGGGTTAATTAACCCAGGAATGAAGTCTGAGTGTCTCTGGAACAGACTCCCTGGATACAAGACATCAGCCAGGTCAGAGCCACTCACCCAGAAGGGATCCACAGCAGGGTTCTATGCTGAAAACTTCTGTGAGATAGCGGATGTGGAGATCGATCCTAGGAGAGATAGAGGGAGGTCATTATAAAATAACTAAGAGAGGCCGAAGAAGAGGACAAGGAAGAGTGAGGAGATGGATAACTTGAGGGGGACAAGGAAAAAGAGAGAGGGCAGGGACATACATGTGAACTATCCAAAGTTTAGCAATGGTCTCAAATATGACGATTGTAATTGTTCATGGGGTTGTTTTGATCCAAAGTCAACTCACTGGCACTAAACAACGACCAACAGCAAAAGAAGGAAATGGTGGGGGAATTAACCAGGTGGTGCCTGCCCTAGGCCAGCATCACATAGTCTCATCAACCCCATAGAGTTCAGCTATTTTCTAGAGGAAAACATAAAAAGAATTTTTAGAAAACTACTGTGCACAGGGCCCTCAAAGCAGAGTGGGGCATGATGAGGGTGGGGAGACATGATTATAATGAACCATTTATTCACTGCTCACGACATGATGTTATAGAAAACCTAGGACATAGCCCCTCCTCTTTTCACATATACATGCCCACCCCATCGACACTCCAACCATGAGCCAGGAAATCTGAGTTCCACCAAGTGCCTGTTCCCTAGGTAGTAAATCCCTGGAAATGTGCTGGTCAACAGGGTCTCTAAGATCTGTTCAAATGTCGTGACTCTCATATTGATCCCCAGACTGTAGGGGATGAAGGGAAGAAGGTGTATCAATGGAATACTCCCGCCGAATCACGAGAGTAACCAGATCTGCCTTGGCAGGTGTCCACCTCACCCTTGCGAGCGAATGCTGATGCCATTGATGGAAACCGAAATCCCATGGAGGCCAGCTGGCAGTGGGGGCAGCACCACCTCCAGGCCGTGAGGTATCTGTGCGTGGAGCTGAGCCCAGGCATCCCAGACATGGACTTCCACATCCAACTCATTGGAGTTCTCCAGCCACGTCGTTCCGATGAAAAGGATCTCACCTCCTGTGTGTGTGTGCGGAAGAACCGATTAGTCTCTCTGCCATGTGGGACCATGGCGTCAACCACCGACTCCATTTCAAAATGGTTTTAAATGATTAGACACAAGCTAAGCCCTGTGCATAATTCCATAATTTAGAATGTAATGTTGTTTTTTTTTCCTTTTCCATGGAATTTTAAGAAACTGTCTGAATGGAGTTTTAGCCTATAACCTCAAGGACATAAAATGCAAACTTGTCAGAACAAGTGTACTCGAGAGAGTAAATTATATTCCTGCAATGGCAATTCAAGTAATTTAGAGGGCTGAGGGTGCTCCTAACCACAAACAGTAATATGAATCCTCCTTCTTACCCTTCTCTTTTCTACTGGTCTTAGTCTAAAACTCTACCCTCAGTGAGCCCTACTTATCATAATATCATATGTGAGAACAGTCCTTCGCAGATGACAGAATTTTCTCATCACCCCTTTTGATCTTCCCTCGATCCTGCTGGCCTGTAGGGATAGATATGAGGACCAGCAACGAAGGCCGTGCAGGCAAGGCCTACAAGCTAATTAATGGAAAAGGCAAGGCCTCGGCTCAGTCTTCTGTCCCCTATTTCGATTCCATGATAGTTTAATTATACACTGTACTAAACACCATGTATACTAGGTTCCTAGGGAGAATGTTCTGACGGTCCTTTTCTGAAACACCAGCCAATTAAAATTCTGTGGACTCCAGGGATCTAACCCCTTTGGACATCAAGTCACTGGGATTCAGGACCTGCTCCTCGGCAGCTTACAACCTACTAGGGACAAAACCAAACCCATTGCTTTCAAGGCAGTTCTGACTCACAGTGACCCTACAAGACAGAGCAGAACTGCCTCTCTGGGTTTCCAAAGCTGCATCATCTGTACAGAAGCAGACTGCCTCAAACCCCCAGCCTCTGGTTCCCAGCCAAGTGCTTCTTATACTGGCTCTTACACTATGCACTCTGCAATTCAATTCCTTTTCATACAAAGAAAAATTCCTTTTCATGCAAGGGGCACAAAAGTAAAGGACACATGTCCCCTGCCCTCATGTGAATGTGCCCAAATAACTCAAGTTGAAGTTCTCAGAAACCAAACCCTTGCGGTTGAGTTCAATTCCAACTCATATTTGCTCTACAGGGCAGAGTTAAATTGTCCCATAGGGTTCCCAAGGGTGTCTAGTTATGGAATTAGATGGACACATCTTTCCATAGAGAGTGGTTGGTTAGAACTGCTGACCGTTGAAGTTAGCAGCCAAGTGCTGAACTGCTGTGCCACCAGGGTGCTTAGTTCGATTCCAGAACATAAAACAAGTAAGTCGTTTGAATTAAAATAACCGTCTGGATATCAGAAAAGGCCTCCATGGTGTAAGCTGGTGCTGGAAATTCGAAAGATAAATCCGCCAAGGAAGTGAAACAAAAGAACGCTATTTATCTTTCGATTCTAAATGTCAGTCTGATAATGGTTTCCAGATTGATCATCCAGTGGTTGGGAGAGAAGAAAAGGAAAGTGAGTGGCTTACTAGGAGACGAGAGACAGGTAGAAACAGGTAGAAACAGGACAGGGGCGGGAGCAGGGAAAGTTGCTGGTGGTTGAATGGCTGGTGACCAAGGAAGGCACACATAAGGGGGTAAGTTACTTCAGTGGACTGTGGAGACCACCAAAAGTTTCTAAGCAAGAGAAGAATCAGATTGACGTGATTCTTCCTGTCCCTAAGACACACTGGAGAGAAGTCAGAAAATCCAGTCTGCAATCGCGTGGTGTTTCTATCAGGAGAAGCACATGTGAGACAGAAGTGGAGGTAAGCATACTTACCTTTCCTCGGGGCTAAAGCATCTCAAAAGCTCTTTTCACTACTATTGTCCTGTGCCTTCCATTTAAGACCAACCCCTAAAGCATACATATGGCAGAGAAGAACTGCCCCCACGGATTTCTTAAGCTATAACATTTATACTCCTGTGAAGCCACTTTCAGTTAACAACTGAGTGATTAAGCATCCTATCACCAGGGCTCCTTCTTCCAGCCACTAACATTTGAGGACTCTTTTCAGCTCTAGAAGGAAGCCCTGGTGGCAGAGTGGATTAGGCTTTGAGCTGTTAACCACAAGGTCAGCAGTTCTAAATCACCAGCTGCTCTGGGGGGGGCGGGGGGAAGGCTTTTTGCTCCCTTAAAGATTTACAACTTTGTAAACTCACAGGGGCAATCCTACTGTCTCATTCAGGCTCACTAGTCAGCAGCAGTAGGTGCTTGTTTGGTTCAGAGCTGGTGCCTACAAGACGTCACAGCCAATGAAAAGGAGAAATAAAAAGGAGACTATAGTTCAGTGAGAGTGCTGCTCATAGATTAACTACCTGTATAACTTCAAGGAACTCACTTTGGGTTCTCAAACTCTTGGATTTCTCAGCAAGGAGACAGTCAGAAAGCCTTCCCCATATTATCCACTGTAAGGATTAAGTGCACTATTGTACGAAAGCATCCAGAACCACACGGTACATAAAGCAGCCTCAATTAACTTCATGCTCTTTCTTTCTCCTCACTTCCTCATGAGTTTTCCATCTTGCTTCTCCTCTGAAGTCTGAAGTTACAGTAGCTGCTAGAATAGTGACATTCACTTCAACAAAGCATTAACCCGGTGCTTATTCATGCAGGAGTCCCTGGGTGATGCCAACAGTTAATGGGCTCTCTGCTTACCTAAAGGTTGGGGGCTTCAACCCACCCAGCAGTACCACTCCCTAAAAAGCAGCCATGGAAAAGCTATGAGGCACAGTTGAGACAGGTAAGACATTACCATGAGGTGGGTTGACTCTATGCCCGCTAGTTTGGCTACTCCATGCCAATCCAAGATATTCTCATGCCTGCTTCATCTGCAGTTTTCCCAATAAAGATGGAAAGTACTGCCCACTGGCCAATGGAGACAGTAAAGAAAACAAGGAAGCTCAAAATCCTGCTCAAGAAGAGCTTCCGCTGAGATTCGTTCATATTCGGCTCTGCGTGACAGCCAAGACCACATGAATGGCCCTGCACATCCAATTCTCCCTCCTCCTCCTCCTCCTCTTTCTTCTCCTTCTCTGTCCTTCACTTTCATCTGAGCTTCATTGTCATTATTAATATGGCATTCGGAATGGAGAGATGCAGCACTCTGGCTCAAAGGAGACGTTCCCAGTAGGCTGTCACCCTTTGTGGATTTTATGAGTCATATCATGGGCTCGTCTTTGCTCTGTGCATCGAAAGATTTAAATACAAGTGGAAACTCTGAAAATAAATGCATCGTATTGTTTACATCAATAACATGAACTCCTTGGACTCTTGGTCAATTGTCAATCTAATACTGGATGCCTTTGAGGCACTGGTGCAATGTATTTATTCTTTTCATTATAGGTGGAAAATTTTATTAAGAGCCCAAATCACTGAATTCTGAATAGAACACAGATCTCCCTCCTCCTTTTTCTACCTCTTTCGGAAGAATCTATACCACTAAGGAATTTTACATACTTTGGTAGCCTGAGGCAGCAAATTCTTCTTCTGCACAATCCAATCTGAATTATATTGAAAAGCTAAAGGACATTTCCCTTTATTTGTAAACTCTTGAGCAATGGCAAATGAAAAGAGTATCAGAAAAATCAAGCCGTTTTTTTTTCTTTAGGAAATATGGTGGTCTCTTAAACTATTAGATACAGTTGCCATAAACTTCCTGTTGTCTAGCATTCAATTAGAGGATCCCAGATGGTATAGTGGTTACCCTCAGGGCTGTGGTCCACACCGTGAGCAGTTCAAAACCACCAGCCGCTCCACGTGAGAAAGATCCACTTTTCTACTCTCTCAAACAGTTATAGTCTCAGAAACTCACAGAGCAGTTCTACCTTGTAGAGGATTGCTATCAGTCACCATTGACTCAATGACTTTTGCTTGAGCATTCAATTAACCAGAAAGATGTATTATCTGTTACCCATCCAAAACTGTATGCTTTGTGTGACAGTTAGATATTATGTCAACTTTGCTGAGCATCAGTGGCTTAGCAGTTAAGACATAGTAATCCATCATGATGTGACCTAACACAATATAATCCCTTTTATAACAGGATCAACTATAAGCAGCCCATCGGTTGTAAAAAATATTAGGGTGGATGCAACACCCTTACTCAGATCACAGTCCTCATACGATCAGTTGAAAGGAAGCTTCCTTTGGGTCTTTTTCTGCTTCTAATGTAAGTGGAAACTGTGGGAAATCTTACTTGCTTTCTACTGAGCCTAGATCTTGCATCTGGGTCTTCAACCTCTGATTCTTTTCCTTGGAGCTAACAGCTTACCATATTGCCTGCTAATCCTGAGAGGCATTAGCAGCCTGCCACTTCACCTGCCCATCTTGGATTCGTTAGTCACTGCAGCCACCAGCTTGTCATCTCCCTGTGAATCTTGGGTTCATCCGCTCCCATGGGTATACAAGTCAGGAGCCACCTCTACCCTAACCTATGATGTTGAAACCTGACAGGCCTTTGACTTGCCTAGTTCTACAAGTGTGATCCATTTTCCTGAAATAAACTTGCACACACATATATATTCTTAATAAAAACTTACACATATGTGTACATCCGTAAGCATATGTATGTATACCCACACATATAAACATATAAGCTTCACTGATTTTCCTTCTGTAGAGAACCCAGTGTAAGACATTATGACATGATAAATTATTACTCATTCCATCTTGGAAATATCACCTGGAAGCATCAAAGAAATCTTAAATTATCTCCTGTAGTTTGCTACTAAAAAGTATATTCTTTTAATATGCAGTGTGTTTCAAAGAACTCTTAACTGTCCTCACAAGGACTCTGCAGGGACTAAGAGACAGTTGTTTGAACATAACAAGGGAATACTGTGGGGTTTAAATAAAAAACGGGTGCATACGTATAAGAAGTCAGGCTGTGTGAAAAGAACGTCACATCAGGATTAGAGGGAGACTCATTAACAACCTGCACAATGAAGATGTTGCAACCTGGGCTGCTAAAGGTGAAAAGGGCTGAAGCCCTTACTGATGACGATCCAAGATCACAGCCTCCAGTCTGGGTTATGCCTCAACACAAAGGAAACAGAAATCCTCTAAGTATACCAATATGCAAAGCCCGGAGCTATCGAGAACTTCTTTCTCTTGGATCCACAATCAATACTCATGGAAGCAATAGTCATGAAACAAATGGCATGTTAACGAATGACGTGTACCTGACTCAAGCCATCGTATTTTCAATCGCCTTCTCTGCGGGGGAGCGCTGGACAATGAATAAGAAAGACTGAAGATGAATCGATGCCTTTGACTTACAGTGTTGGCAAAGGATATTGAACATGCTGTGGGCTGCCAGAAGAAGGAACAGCTCTTTCTGCACTAGAAGAAGTACAGCCAGAATGCTCCTTAGAAGCAAGGATGGTGGGAGTTTGTCTCACGTTGGGCATGCTACCAGGAGAGATCAAGTCCTGTCAAGGAACATTATTCTTGGTAAAAAGTGTCAGCAAAAAAGAAGACCTTGAACTTGATGGATTGCCACAGTGATCACAACAATGAGCTCAAACATGGCAATGATTGTGAATATGACGCAGAACTGAGCAGTGTATTGTTCTACTGTCCGGGGATTGGGGTGGGGGGGCAGGCAGACATAGCTCATTGTTTAGGATCTACAATCAGATTGCCGAGCTCAAATCCTAGCTCTGCTACTGACTAAAGATGTAGCTTAGGCTCGCTGGTCAGATAGAATCAGTGGAACCCTAGGGACTGTCATCCTCCATTAGCCTTCAGTAAATGAACACACCCTCTATGGATCTTTTTTTTTTTTTTTCAGCCAAGCAAGGGACAGGTGTAGAAAGGCAACAATAGCACTCGGAGTGTATTCGCACCTTAGAATAATTGACCAGTTGCGACCAAACAGGTAGCACTGGCTCAAAAACAAAGTTCCAAAGATGTTAGAAGAGGAGGAGGCATGAGAGCAGGAATCACAGGAGGCGGGTGATGCTACATTGTGAGGCTTGTAATCAACAGCATTTAACAAAATATGTCCTAATCGTTGAAGGAAAGCCTGATCTGCTCTACCAACCTTCACCCAGATCACAACAGAGAGCTTACAACTAAAACACAATCGAGGTGGAATTTTCGGCAAGTCACTTAGTCTCTCTGTGTTCAGTTTCTTCGTTATAAAATGGGGCTAGTAATCTTACACACCTGCAATAAGGATCGCATGGTGTCTACGATGCGTTTATACCAATCACACTGACAGAGTAAAACCAAACAATATCCATTGTCATCGAGCCCATTCCAATGTGTAGGACAGAGTAGAACTGCTTCGTAGTGTTTCTGAGACTAAATCTTTACATGGTGCAGAAAACCTCACCTTTCTTCCATGGGGCAGCCGGTGGGTTTGAACAAAAATGTGGCAATTAGCAACCCAGTATTGAACCAACTGCACCATACTGTAGGTACTTAATACTTATTGAATTAAATATGACCTATGCATTCTCACATTTTTGTGATGAGATTCACCCCAGTATTACAGAGGGAGACTGACTCTAAGATAATTAAGATGAGAAAAACTGGTTTCCTGATGTTCACGGGGGGTGGTAATAAAAATGTCCACCCAAAATACAGTTCCATCTTCAATAAAGTCCACAGACTCCTGTGTACCATTTCTAGAAGATCACCGCCCTGAAGCCAATGTTCTCCGTGCTTTTTACCTGCTAAGCTGCTGCTGTTCCTGCTCAGAGACAAGATGAGTGGATTTAAAGAGGAGTCATATGCAAATGCTGCTGGAAGAACGGCCCATTGGTCTCCTCTGGTCACAGTCACGTCCACAACGGATTCATTCCCCTGGAAGTGAATTTTTAAGATCAAACCTTAGTAAATAAGACTGACTTGAGGGAAGAGGAGAAGTTCAAATTGAATTAACTTAGAAGGCTAATTTCAAGAAACGTGTTTGTAAAGGGTATGTTTGCTGCATTCAAGTCTCTCTCTCTCTCTCTCTCTCTCTCTCTCTCTCATACACACACACACACAGCGGTTAGTGCTTGGGTGACCCAAGCACATACTTGACTAGATACAGAGGAGCTTGCTCTGAGGACAAAGCGTTGCTTGGGAAGTGTTTGTTGGAGACAGAGAGAAGTTGGTTCTCCAAAGATTGCAAGCATACAATTCCCAAGGCCACCCACCTCTAAATACAGATTTGTACAATAAATCCTTTCTTCAAAACTACTGAGAAGGTAAATTTCAAGTAAATCCCCTTTAAATTATGACAAGTTTCTGAATTGTAAAGTGTGAAATGACTTGCATTACAGTTTCTAATTTCAGAAACAAACAATAAAGGAAATAGATATTAGGTGTCTGTTGTTTTTTCAACTTGAAATGCCTGTCCTCCGGTCGGACAATCATCATTGTGATCTTTTAGTCACGTCCGGCCTTCCAGAAGAGAGCGGGTGGCTGTTTCATAATCCTTTCTAGAAGATCAATAATTTAATACGGGTTGACTCAGAGCACCATAAAAGTAGAATTTAAATTGTCAGGGGTTGGCAAACTTTTGAGATGGAAGCGTCAAGTCCTGTCCCTCGCAACCATTTATAAATTATTCAAAAGTCATAAATAGATTTTACGAACAAATGAAATTGGAATAATATCCTTTAATTTTCTTCCCATTTTACTTCAGAGCCACTTGTATGTACTGAGAGTGTGGCATGTGACTGATCAGCAATTTGCCAACCCTTGCTTTCTGTGAAAGAAAATCCAGACTCTTTTAACAGACTGTAGAAGATAATGGATCTTTTAATAAGTTCTATAGCTGCCCACAGAGCCCTGGTGGCCCTGGGGGATAAGCCATGGCTGGCTAACCCCAAGGAACTGCAAGAGAGAAAGGTAAGGCTGGCTGCTCTTGTAAAGATGAGCACTGGTGGAAATTCTATGTAGGGTCACTATGAGTCAAAAATCAATTCGAAGTCGGTTTGGGCTTATACACTATCCATGGATCGCTGATGGCACAATAGCTCAACTGCTAACCCAAAGGTTGGGTGTGTGAAACCACCTCAGAGTACTGTGAGAGAAAGGCCTGGAGATATTGTCCACAAAGATCACAGCGAAGGCATATTTGTGACGCAGTTCTCTTCTGAAATGGACTCAATAGCCCCAAATGATGCAACATGGGCTGGTCACGTTCCAGGGAACTCAACCAGTGTGAACCCAACTGCTAACCTAAACGTTGGTGATTGGAAACCGAGACAGGAATGGACCCCCAGACACCTGGCCAAATGACTGGAGGAACTCCAAGAACCCCTCACTAAGTGAATCATAAAGAATTACAAGCCAGCAGAGCAGCTGAAAACCACACTGGGATGCTGAAATGCACACCCAGGAGCTAACAGGCAAACCGAGTTAGTCACCTATCGCTAACTCATCTAAAGGTGTTTTTCAGGAATCCAGGGGCCAACTACATACAGTGAAAAGTCCCTTGTGCAGAGAGGAGGGGAGGTGCCCACCCAGGAACGGAGGCTGTGCAAGCACAACATCTCATAATGAGTTCTGCATAGCATCCTAGAAACCTGCAGAGCTGACTCCAGCTTTGAAAAACAAGTGTATGCCCACCCTGTTGGCATGGCCCAGCCTATTCTCAGAAAACATCACTTTCCCCTTGAATTTTTTTGAGTATGTATAACTTTCCTGTTGCACCTGGGGAGGGATTAAAAACCCTGAACCCCTATAGCTTTGGTAGGACAAGGGTCAGCATTGGACAGTGCCTCCTAATCTCTGGCTCTTTCTCTAATAAAACTTTGCTCATGTAGAAACTCAGTGCCACTCCTGGTCATTCTTGGTCAGTAGAAGGCAAGAATCCTCCTTTGCAGGGTTAGGCCAGGAACAGCACTCCTACCAGGAACATGACCACACAAAGTTGTGCAGCAGATTTACCCAATGTGATGTGTGTTTTTTTATCTCTTAACTGCTGCTTCCATGAGCATTGATTGTGGATCTAAGTGAGATAAAATCCATGAGAACCTCATTTATCCAGATGTTACCTATTGGTTCAGTTGTGAAGATTTGAGACTTCTTTACATTGAGTTGTAATCCAACTGAAGGCTGCAATCCTTGATCCACCATCAGTCCCTGCCTGGTTTTAGCTGCTGATCTTGAGCTTCTCCAATGTCTCTTCTCAGAGGTGCAGTCAATTTGACATCTGTGTATTCCATCTGGAGAAGTCCATGTGCATGGTCACTGTTTGTGTCGTTAAAAAAATTTGCTATAAACAAGTCATTGGTCTTGTGAAACTCTATCATGTACTCTCCAGCTTTGTTTCTACCAAGACCATATTTTCCAATGACTGTTCCTTCCTGTTTCCAACATTTGCATTCTAATTGCCAATAATTATCAATGAATCTCAATTGCATGTTTGATCAATTTCAGAGTGAGGACGTTGGTACCATTCTTCCATTTCTCCATCACTAGCTTTTGTAGCTGGTCCATCAATTTGAATAATAATTGTATTGATTGGATTTCCTTGAATTAGTAACATTCAAATTAAGCTTGATTTACGGGGTCCCTTTGGTGAACCAGCATATAAGTTCCTAAATGTTACTGTCATCCTATGTAACTTCTACACCTGTAGCATTTCCAACTATCATCTAAACTTCTCAGAGGAGAATGATCCCGTCTGAATTGTCTGTATCTATTTTCTTCCATTTCCCCCTACCATTTATTACGTGACACATGATAGTCTGGGCTTGAAGCTTGAGAATCCTTTGGCCTGCCTCTCTCCCTCATGAGACACCTCATGACATTTACTCAATCCTCAATCACCGCCAAGTTCTAGAAAATAACCTGAGAATATTTACCTGTTCAAAACCCATTTAACCTTTCTTTACCCCAACCGTGACTTACAGGAGAAAAGAGATGATCTTTCAAAATATACTAAACATTGAAAAGTAAAGCAGCAGATTGAGATGAAAATACCTGAAATTTATACAAAGAATTCATGTACATAATACACAAATCAGTAAGTAAGAGATAATTATTTCAATGGGGGGGGGGACAGAAAAGTATGCAATGAACACACACACAACAAATCAAACTGATTTTTTCTTGATTGCATCCTAACTAGTGCCAACTTCATGTTTGTTACAGTGTAGAAAAGAGAAATTACAAATGCTCAGTAAATATTTGAAAATGCATTCTAGAGGAAATGAAAAATCTCAGAACTTAAGGACATAAGTCCCCCGATAAAAAGCCCAAGCAATGCTCATCATAATAAATAAGATTCTTACCAAAGTGTGTCCTTGTCAAATTAGAGAGTCTTTAGTGTTTGCAGAGAAAAAAATGCAAGTCACCTGATGGGAAGTAAAGGGTTAACCCTGTCCACAGGAATGCAGGCCCTTGATCAGCTCCTGGGAGGTAATCTCTAATTCTGCTTGGTAAGAGTGTCTCTGTTTACTGGGCAGCCTTGGGCCACATTCCAAAGTCAATACTAAGAATGTTATTTATTTGGGGATCTTGAGCCTTGTGGTATCAGCTGAACCTCTGGGGAGGGGGTTGGAGACTACAGTCAACCATGAACGTGGTCACCCAGGCTTACATGACTAAAAAGAAAAGAAAAGAAAAATGGGCCAGCCCACTGCCACGGAGCTGAGTCCACCTCATAGACCTGTTACATGGCGCTTCCAAAACTGTGAACCTTTGTAGGAGCAGACAGCTTCATCTTCTCTCCTGAGGCTGCTGGGTTTGAACAGCCGATTTGGAGGTAGCAAGCCAATGCTTACCCTAGACCCACAACGAAAATCCTCGACATCGAGGCTCAGATGTGCATCCCTCATTCCCAATACTCACGCAAGCTGCCGCTGTCACTGCCATGAGAAATTAACACTGTCTATACCCATCCTGGGGGAGCCCTGGGGGTGTCATGGCTACTCATTGTGCTGCAATCCACAGGGTTGGCAGTTCAAAACCACCACCAGCTCTGTGGGAGAATGGCTAGACTTTCTACTCCCATAAAGATTTATAGTCTCAGAAACCCACGGGGGTTTGAGGGGAATGGCACTATGAGTCAGCATTGACTCAATGGCAGTGAGTTGTTGTTTTGTTGTTGTTGTTGTTCATACCAGTCAACCAGAGGAAGACAACTAAAAGCGTGTGCATGCTGCCTCCTTAGCCCTGCCCTGAGTGCCCTTCCCACCGCGAATTGCCCTCTGCAGCCTTTGGCTGTAACAAATATAAATGCAAGCTCTTCTGAGGTCTGCAAGTGCTTCCAGCAAGTCCCTGAGCAGGCGGATTGTCTAGGAGACCCAGAAAGGACTGAAAATCAGAATTACATGGAAGCTTAGTAGTTATATTGGATGCTAAAGGATAAGTGAGCTATGCTTTTAAAACTCGGGGGGTGGGGGGTGGGGGGGGGCGGAATATTTGTTATATAATGGTTGAATCACATCAAATCGACAACATTCAATCATCTTTGACATGCCCAAAGTGCCAACTTCAAATGAATATCTATTCCCACTTAAATACTTCATTGAGTATGAGAATTTCAGACATGTGAGGACTCAGAAACTTTCAACATAGTCTTTCTTCGAATGTGTCATAAGGCTCACTCTCTGCCATCAAATGGACTCTGACTCCCGGAGACCTTGTTTGACAGACAGAACTACCGCAGTGGATTTCTGAAATGAAATCTTTACAGGAGTAGAAAGCCTTATCTTTCTCCAGAGGAGCAGCTGGTGGCTGTGAACCACTGGCCTTGCAGTTAGCAGCCCAACTTGTAACCAACTCACAAAACATAGAAGTGGCCAATACACTGTGGCTCTACCAGGAGTTCAGCAAAGGGAAACACAAAGGAGAAATTTGAAGAAGTCTACAAGCAACCAATCCAGATTGGAGCAGGAGAATGAGGTTCTTCAAGGGAAAGGAATAATTGATATGATGAAACTTTTTAAATGATGAAAGATTGTTTCATTATACGGAATACATTCTGGGTGGGAAGGGAATTTGAGGAAAATAACATAAGAAAACAAAAGCTTTTTAGGGGGGGAAATCAACTGGTACTGCTAGCACCATTTAAATAGTTATGATAATGCCAACTCAGTCTATTTATTTAACAAACGGGCACAATAACTATATTCAAAAGAGTGAGAAGGGCTTGTTTCTAAAAGTAGACTTGAGGAAAGATGAAAGGGTGGGAGAGCATGATTGGTTTACTATTTCTAACTCTTTTTGCATGTACTTCTTTGATCAAAATACAAGTATGCTTTCTTAATGTGTGTCTTCTCCAGTAAAAAGTTTAAAAATCCAAACAATATAGATGCTACTCATTATCATGGTAAATACATATTAAAGTGATACAATCCAGGGTTGGCAAAAGCCCCAGCAATCAGACACGTGCAGAACAAGCGTGAAAGGATAAACTGAGACTTTCCAAGAACGGCGTCTCATGTAGCTCAGCTTTAGAATTTAGATTCATGTATCCTGAGACAATCAATGCACCCAAAAGTGCATTACTTGGATGATCAAAGTCCTATGGTTTACAATAGGGAAACTTGGAAATTATCTAAATGTCCAATAGTAGGGAACTGGTTAAACAAATGACAGCACTGCCATATATCAGAATTGCTGCAGTTTACATGTGAAAGCTAACGTTTCATAACATTTAAGGAGCTAGATGAGATTCAAATGTGGAGCTGGTGATCAAAGAATATTCTGAACGCTCCCTCCCAGGGGAACTTCAGTTGTTCAAGGGAGAGCCCTCAGAGATCACAAGAAGCTAAACTTACATGACGTTTCAGAGATCCTACTAATCCACAAATTACTTGTTTCTACACTAAGGGTTCTAAAGAGTTCTTATGGATTATTTTCAGTGGAAACCAAGGTCTTGGCTAAGTAGAAAAACATATATATATATTTGTTTTCAATAAGTACATGTTTTTATTTATATATATATTTTACTTAAAAGTCTGGCACTGTTCTATGCGCTTCTCAAATATCGGTGAGTGTAATAATTTCACCCTCTTTATAGCCCCAGGAGATCATGTCCCATTGTGGAGCTGGTTTCTAAATTTAAACCCAAGGAGACTGATTTGCTAGTCTGTGAGCTTAAAACCACATGCTCTCCCAGAGCCAGAGAAAAACAGGAAGAGGTGAAAATGTTGGAAAGAAAATTAGAAAATGAGACTGTATAGAGTTTATCGCGTACAACTGTCACTAATCTCTGGAAAGGATCCTGTGCCAGGAATGTTGATAACCCTGAAGTCAACTCTTAGGAGAAAGTTCCACTGTAGCTGTGTGTGTGTGTGTGTGTGTAGCTGTGTGTGTGACTTTTCACAGTGACCCCAGGGAAGATCCTCAATTCAGCTCCCTTAATAACCACTGCGGTCTACTTGATGCTTGGCTCATGGCTACCGACAGGATGCAGTGTAACTACGCCAGATGGTTTCTAAGGTGTAAATTGTTAGGGGAACAGACAGTCTCGTCTGTATCCCATAGAGTGGCTCTTGGGTTAAAACTGCTGACTTTCAGTTAGTAGCCTAACACTTAAGCCATGATGCCACCCAAAATCCCTTACTGGGCTCTAAGTGAACTGGAAAAGAAAGGGAGGGCCCGGGACTTGGTTTTGTAACAGGCAGTGGGGGTGATGGGAGGATCCTGGGTTCTACCATCATACACTCAGAGCAAACTAAGTCTGTTTGTTTGTTGAAGAGAAGGGTGAAGTCATAAGATGAGTGAATCTTGGGAACCCACACCCAGCGTGTGCACTAGATAAATATGTTTATTCTGTGTTATAACATTCAGTAATATTTTGAACTGGGGCGGCCTGGTTGTCTTTCTTTAAGCAACTAATGTTAATTACAAGCCCCATTAGAGGGGTGTTTTCCCATTTCATAGCAAGACAGGAAATATGAACATGTTTTCATGATGAGAGGTTATGTCAGTTCATTTTGTTCCAAGAAATGATTCACTCAAAGCTTTATGCTATGTTTTAATAATAGTAATCCATCCCACAGGAAGGCAATGCCAGAGAATTCCACTTACCCTGGGCGGAACTTTACATTGGATTCTTTGTGAATTGCTTGTGTTGATGTTCACGGCACAAGACTGGGACCCGAAAAGCACCAAGCTAGCCCCTTCCAAACCAGAACCTCGGATAGTGGCCCAGAGTCCTCCTGTAACAAAACCACATTTCCAGATGGAATCCACAGTCTGACAGGCAGAAAAAAATTAAGCATCCCCAAGAGAGGTGAAATCAAATTAATAAAACATGAGTCCTCTTAATGTGTCAAAACAAAAGAGAATGCTCACGCTGCAGGAAAAGGCTGAAGTTCAGCATAAAGCGAGCCACATACAAGGAGAGAAACGGTGACTAGAGTGACGAAAGGGCAGTAGGACCTTCCTGGACATTCTTTTATTTAAAAATAAAACATAGAGGCAAATACATGGCTTCTTCCCTAGAGTTTGAAGTACTGTCCCTGCCAGTCCCCCAAAACGCGTTCTTTGCCAAGAGCTCAAGCACAAGGGAGCATCAAGGCAGAACAGGCAGTGAGCTCTGAGTCAGCGCCCAGGTTACAAGCAGGTCTTCGTGCTATTGATCCTCGGCTCACAGCTCCTCATTTCCTTCATCCAACAGCTTTCTGGTTTGATGCCACACACCCCAAAGTCAAGGCACCATGATGGATCAACTTGGTTAAGTGCCTGGTTGCTATCCAAAAGGTTGGCATATGAACCCTCCCAAGGGCTTCATGGGAGAAATTTCTTCATATAAACAGGCAGGTACTCTGTCACATGATGTCACTTTGGGTGGGCAATAGACTCAAGGGGACCCAACAAGGGCAACATGCTGGTGTAATAATTGAAAATTTCTAGACTGTTTGGAAGTCCCCCCATAAAGTGACTGGAATCACCAAAAGCCATCCATTGCATCAGGGTATTGCTGCTGACCACCCTGCAAAGATGGGTGAGAAGGGAATTGGCTCCAGTCATACAAACTTTCCCTTGATAAAAAGCAGACCCCTATAAAACTGTAATTGCCACTGATGGAGACCCAGTGTGAACCCAAAAGCCCACAGATTACTGATGAAGGAAAGGATTCTGGTCTACCATCTCCCCAAGGGGGTACAAGAGAGGCTACCAAATAGGTACGACCTCTGAGAGTGGGGAGGAAAAGGTTATTTCCCAAAAACATCAGTGTGAAAAGGGACATTTAGCAATCCAAGGGAAGATTTTGGAGAGAATGCGGATGGGTGAAGTGGCAGCCCAAAGAATTAAGATAGAACTGCGATGTTGTTGGTACTAAACCATTCTGTAACTTCCCCACTAGTAAGCCTGGCTGGGTCTGAGTCTCTAATGCTCCTACCACGATTGCCATAGAGTCAGGTCCAACTCCCAGCAAACCTACACTAGACAATGCAAAGCCAAGATGGGGAGGGGGGACTGAAATTCTGCATTGCTACCCAGCCCCTTGGAGATGGAATCCTGCTGGTTCAGAATCACACTTTGTAAAGCAAGGTCTTTAGCACCGAGCCCTCAAGGTACACCTTTTGCTAAAATCTAGTGGGAAAATGCATGATCCTCCCAGACCATTGAATCCCTGCACTGCGTTATTCAGTGCACCGAACAGCCAGAATCCTCCTGAGAAGAGAGGATGATGAGACTATCTCACAATCTCTGAGCAGGTTATTTAGAGGGACCAGTCTCTGCAGAAAGGGATCCTGATTGGTATAGTGGAGGTTCTGAGAAAAGAGAGAGACCTTCAGAGAAATGGACAGAGCTGCTGGAACAATGGGTCCCAACAGAACAGTTTGAGGACGGTGTCTCCTCCTGTGACACACAGGGTCACTATTAGCTGGAATGGACTGGAAGGCATCTGATAGCAACAACCACCTAAGACTGTAACCTATTTGGCTCATGTGCCTGGGAATCTGCTAGTTTCAAATCTCATGTCCTGGGAAATCCCTCACTTCTGGGAAGACGTGGGTAGTTAGTTACCCCCACTGGAACAGGGCACTCTGGATAGGGGATACGATAAGGTTTTGGTCACCTGCATGCCCTGACCTCAAAGCCACTGCCATCCAGGCGGTTCCAAGTCATAGTGAACCTATAGGACAACATACATCTCCCACAGGGTTGCTAAGGTGCTGATGTTTGTGGAGGCAGACAGCCTCTTCATGCCCCTTCAGTGGCTGATGGGTTCAAACTGCCAAGGTCTTGGTTATCGGCTGAGTATTAACAACTGCTCTACCTTGCCCTCCTGTAAGGGCCTATTATGGAGAGGGGTGGGAGTTCAAGAAGGTTTGTGTGGCCTGAACTACAAAGGTAATTTTGTAAATCAAAGCACCTCATAAATCTCATGAAAAACACTATCATCAACCCTGAGCCCAAAGCAATAATGATTAAGCTCATTAAGTCATGCCCTTCTACTCTGAGTACCACATATCCCCTGGCTCCTTCCTCAAATCTCTAAGAAATAAGAGCAAGTGCTGCCGTGGTCTTATGCATAGTGACAAGGTGGGGTGGAGCTCTTATTTCACTCTTCTAGGTTAAGTCAATTCAGAGACGAATCACTCCTTTAGACAATGTGTGCCCAGAATGTTCTAAGCCGGAGGTCTCCGAACAACAGAACAAACCGCAACAGCCACCAGCAGGGGAAGAGGGTAATCCAGAAGTTAGGGCAAAGAGTTGTATGCTCCAAAAGAGCATGCTTTATATTAGCAACCATGAACTTGTGTGTCCCATGATTCTTGCAGTCCTGCTGGGCCAGTTTTAACTGGTCCCACTCCTCAGAACACAGCAAGTCATGGAGCGCCCGGTTTTTCACAGCATTGAGATCGGCCCCTGGGGCTAAATATTATTAACAAGACAAGCCCTCCAATTCTCTGCAACTCAAATGGGAGTCGACTGTGTGTGCCCACTGAGCATCTGCCAACTGTCCATCAGGGAGCCACCGTGTGTGACGCGCCCACTGTGCACGGAGCTTGTGGTGAGCAGACCCTTGATCTCACAGCTCTCAATGTTGTCCCTTTTCAGGGGGCTTTCCTCACAACTTCATCTTGGCTCTCCCACCAGTGTAACGCTGACTCAATTTAATGTCCCACAAAACTAGAAATCTCCCACAAAAGTAAGTCAAGCTTTTAAGGCTCCCTGTCTGAGTAAAATAGGATGGTACTATAGAACAGAGGAGAGCATTGGCATCGATCTGAGTGTTTGGGTCCGAGTGCTACCTCTTTCCATTGGGAAACTTTGGGGCAAATCATTCGCCTTGTGGAACCAGCAATATCGCATCTGGAAAATGTGGATAATAAGTCCATCCTTGGGGAGTTCCTAGCATTTAGAAGAGGTGTTCAGTAAATGATGTTGTGGCTAGCTGCTTCATTGCTTAGACAATGAGCTCCACAGCAGTAACGTGGGGGAGGACTAAGGCCAAGCATATGTCCTCACCCCGAGTCCTGGGTTATCTCCCCTAGACTAAATAGTCCTGCTGACTCAGCGACTGACCCAGTTATGCCTGGCATCGCCAGGCAAACTATGATCCTCTATGTGGCAAGAAAGTTGGTTGAAGGGCCCAAGTGTCTGTTGTTCATTAGTGCATGCTGATGGCAGAGAATAAACAGTTATGAATCATAATGGATACAGAATTTATCACAGGGTCAAACAAGATTCAGAGGCTGGTTTTAGGGGGGCAGATGGAATGTGATACCCTCCCCTGATTACCAATCTCTGCAGCTCTGGAAGGCTCCACAGCATCCAGCCTGGGCCCCACATGTAAAAAGGGGCCTTCTCCACTGGTGGTGATGGCAAGACCAGAGGGCCTCACCAACACCGAGAGCTGATGCACTCCGACCGGCAGCATGCCCATCTGACAGACCACACACGTTAGGTTGCAGAAAATTACTTGGCAACTTGTTTTGTTCACCATAACCTGAAAGGCCTGGGAGTCATCAGAGAAGCCAGTTCCAGTAATATAAACCAGGAGGTTGATGTCATCGCCTAAAAAATGGAAAAACAAACAAACAGAATCATCTCTCCATGATGTCACTCCATTTGAGAGACCTGACTCTAATATCCAACACCCTTTCTCTCTCTATCTCTCTCTCTCCCCACTCCCAGGACTTAGGGATCTGAATACAGACTCCAATATTGGACATCTGCATTTACTTGGAAGATCTATCCCGCACCTAACATTTTCTCAAACTAGTCGTCAGAGATCCCAGCTCAACAAGAACTGGAAATAGAATCAGATAAAGAAGAATTCTGAACAAGGGGCAAGAGGATATTTTAAGTCATCAATAATCCACGTGTCTCTATTTCCATTTCATGACCATATTATCATTTTGATTATGATTGCTAGGTGCTGTCCAGTTCATTCCAACTCATAGAAGAAACCCATGGGACAGAGTAGAACTGCCCATAGTGGTTTCCTAGGCTGTAATCTATATGGGAGAAGATGGCCCAGGTCTTTTCTCCCAGGGGGACACTGCTGGTTCTGAATTGCTGACCTGCTGATCTATGATCTATAAGCTGAGTGCTTACTCAGCAAAAAGCAAAACACAACGAAACATTTTCTGCTGCCATCACTCTCCCTGAACTTCATAAACTGATGATCTTCTGCCTGTCCCATCGCCAGACGCATGTCCTCTGTGGCAGTTACCTAATCTCTTGTCAACTTGCAAAGGGGTGGAGTCTAGCCTGTCAATCAGGTTGCAGCTTGATGACCTCATTTGGAGGCGCGAAAGAGATAAATAGCTCCCTGGAGGCCAGATACACTCTCCCTGCAAGACATTCCTGTTGACAAGCCACATGGAGCTATGCTGATGGCAGCCAGAGCCTTGGAGCTGGAGGAGCCACATGGAGACCCACACCAGCACTGAGAGGCTTCCACCACCACTGGAAGTATCCACAAGGCTTTCCACCCACTGACCTGTGATCTCCCTGCCCTGAGAGTCATTGAATGTGTTGTGTGAGTCTGAAGAGGAATTTACAGACTGATATCGGACAAATGGGCTAATATTGGACTTAAGGACTTGATCTAGACTGGGCTGGGATATTTTCTTAATATACAATTACCCTTTCATATAAAGCTCTTTCTTTTACACATATGAGTGTCTATGAATTCGTTTCTCTAGTGTACCCGGACTAACACAGCCTCTAACAAAATTACTAAAGTTTCCTCCCAGCCCAAGCCACAGCTCATACCAACAGAATACCATGTCGAGTGGATCTGGGGAGTTGAGCTTTGGAGGTACTGAAAAGAACAGGACCCTGAGCAATGAGCCGGTATGTCATTTACTCTCACAGCCACCTGCAACACACAGAAGAATTAAAAACAAATGTGTGCACTCCATACGCACAAAGGTATGCATAAAATACTTCTGCGCAGTTTTCTGATATTAAAATGTGTCATTGATTTACTTATCCTCACCTCTTTTATTTTCCTAGTAATAAAACCTAAATTACAATCAATGGCTTAAAACATATCAAGCTGTATTAAAATAATGGTAGATACTGAAATCTGGTATTTCTGCAATTAAATATGCTAAACCTTGAATAAATTCCCTTTCTGTTTTATATGGAAGTAAATTTGATGTAATTCAAACTGCACAAGGGCTTAGTAATACCCTATATTTTCAATAAGCACTGAGAACTTGTAGCAAGTACTTTCTTAACTGTCAAATACCAATGAAGCAGATGTCGTCCTTGTACCTTCACTACATGTCTATATAAGAACTTCTGTTAGGTATTCAAAAGGTTGATGGTTCAAGCCGACTCACTGGTACTCAGGGAAAAACACCTGCTTCCACAAAGATGACAGACAAGAGGACTCTTAGGGAGCACTCCTACTTTGTCATATGGGGTTGCAGCAAGTCTAGACATACTCAATGGCTCCCAAGAACAAGAAGAAAGTATAATGGGTATGGGGTCTTTGGGGGCCTAGCATGATTATATTCGACCTGAATTTCAAGACCCTCTCAAGAACAGATTTGACGTTTTGAATACTATTGACAGAGCCTGATGATCTGTTGGATGACATCAAGAACATCATTCATGCAGTAAGCAATAGGTGATTACAAAAATGGGGGAGTGGGGCGAGAAAGGATTAAAGTGGATGTCCGGAGAGACCCCAAAGTTTGCTCTTGTTCATGGAGTCACTGAGGCACATGGAAGAAATGATGAAGTAAAAGAGTTGAACACAAAATCTCAAAGGGCAGCTCGAGAATATAAAATAAAATATTATAATGAAATGTGCAAAGGCCTAGAGTTAGAAAACCAAAAGGAAGAACATACAACGCATACCTTAAACTGAAAGAACTAAAAATAATTAAGTCACAAGGTATAAAACTGAACGATTCTATGGCAAAGATTGAATGATGTGGGTGCATTAAAAAAAGATGGAAAGAATACACAGAGTTGATGTACCAAAAAGAACTCATTGACATTCAATCATTTCAAGAGATAGCATAAGAGCAAGAACCAATGGCATGACAGAAGACGTTTAGGTATATTAAAAGCACTAGTCAAAATCAAGGCTCCAGGAATTGATGTGATACCAGGAATTGAAAAAGGTCAACAAGCTGATGAAGCACTGGAAGCATTCCCTTGTCATTGCCAGGACATCTGTAAGACACTGGGCCGACTGACTAAATGAAATCTATATTTGTATTAATTTCAAAGAAAGATGTCTCAACAGAAGGACTAAATAATAGAACAATATCAAAACAAAATATAGAACAAAATTTTGCTGAAGATCCTCCAACAGTACATTGACAAGGAGCTGCCAGAAGCTCAGGCTAAATTCAAAAGAGGATGTGAAATAAAGGATATCATTGCTGACATCTGATTTCCAGAGCACTTCATTGTACTTATGTGGATCTTGTATGTGGAGCAAGAGGCAGTTATGCAAACAGAACAAGGGAACACTGCATGGTTTAAAACCAGGAAAGGTGTGCATTAGGATTGTATTTTCTCATCATACTTATTCAATTGTATGCTGGCCAAATAATCAGAGAAGTTAGATGATATGAAGAAGAATGCAGTATCAGGATTGGAGAAATGTTTATTAAAACCCTGTGTGTTAGACCAGGTATACTAGAGAAACAAATCCAGGGACACCCATATATGTGTAAGAAAAATCTTTATATCAAAGAGTAATTGGATATCAAGAAAACATCCCTGCCCAGTCCAGATCAAGTCCATAAGTCTGAAATTAGCCCAGAAGTCCAATACTAGCCATAAATTCCTCTTCAGACTCATGCAGTACATGCAATGATGCAGAATGCAGGAAGTTCACAGGCTGGTGGGTGAAAATTCTTGTGGGTCCAATGATGGAGAAAGAAAGGAAGTCCCCAGACTCCTCATGAGAAGGCCACATCCACAAAGAGGCATCATCAGGCTGTGACCTGACTGACAGGCTAGACTCCACCCCTACACTTATTTATCAAATCGACGTGAAACTATGTAACTGCCACAACCTGCAGTATGCAGATGACACAACTTCACCTGCTGAAAGTGAGGAGGACTTGACACACTTGTTGATGAAGATCAAGGATTGCAGACTCAGTATGAATTACAACCCAGTGTAAAGAAAACCAGAATCTTCGCAACTGGACCAACAGAGAACATCATGATAAGCAAACAAAAGATTGAAGTTGTCAAGGATTTCATCTTGCTTGGATCCACATTTAATCCTCATGGAAGCAATCCTCATGGAAGCATACACTGGTACAGATAGGAACTGGAAACACAGGGAATCCAGGGCGGGTGATCCCTTCAGGACCAGTGGTGTGAGTGGCGATACTGGGAGGGTAGAGGGAGAGTGGGTTGGAAAGAGGGAACCAATTACAAGGATCTACATGTGACCTCCTCCCTGGGGGATGGACAACAGAAAAGTGGGTGAAGGGAGACGTCGGACAGGGCAAGATGTGACAAAATAAAAATTTGCAAATTATCAAGGGCTCATGAGGGAGGGGGGAGCAGGAGGGAGGGGAAAAAATGAGGACCTGATGCCTGGGGCTTAAGTGGAGAGCAAATGTTTTGAGAATGATGAGGGCAATGAATGTACAAATGTGCTTTACACAATTGATGTATGTATGGATTGTGATAAGAGGTGTATGAGCACCCAATAAAACAATTTTAAAAAGAGATCAAAAGACACATTGCATTGGGTAAATCTTCTGCACAAGGCCTCTTTAAGGTGTTCAAAAACAAAGGTGTTACTTTAAGGACTGAGTTGTGCCTGACCCAAGCCATGGTATTTTCAATGGCCTCATATGCATCTGAAAGTTGGACATTGAATAAGCAAGCCTCTATAAAGATTGATGCACCTGAGTTATGGTTCTGAAGAAGAGTATTGAAAGTCCCATGGATGGCCAAAAGAACAAGCAAATCTGTCTTAGGAGAAGTACAGTCAGAATGTTCCTTGTCTCATATACTTTGGACATGTTGCAGGAGATACTAGGACTTGGGGGAAAAAACATCATGTTTAATAAAGTGGAGGGACATCAAAAAAGAGGAAGGCCCTCAATAAGAGGTATTGACGGAGGACTCAACCCTAAGAACAGGTGTGAGGACCGGGCAGTGTTCGGTTCTGCTGCACACAGAGAAGCTATGAGTTGGAGCAGACTCGATGGCACAGAACAACGACAGAGTGGTGGGCTTCTAAGAAAAGACTGCTTTTCCCTCAAACTATACTCAGAGAGGAGAAAGGTGAAGTAGATGTGATACAATTGCCTCTCTATAAATTGAAGGAGAAAAAAGGATTAAAACACACACACTAAAGTTATGAGCCTTGACTTATAGAAGGGAAGGAGGCTGGTGGCACAGAGGTTAAGTGCTCAGCGATGAACTGAAAGACTTAAAATCCCCCAGCCTCCACTCCATGGCAGAAATGTATAGCTGCCTGCTTCTGCCAAGGTCACAGCCTGGAAACCATACGGGGCAGCTCTAGTCTCTCCGATATGGTGCGACGAGTCAGAACTGACTAGAAAGCAACTGGTTTTATTATTATTACTATTATTATTATTATTATTTGTAAAGAAGGGGGGATCTGGATAGCATGGGTGATAAAGAACACTTAAGCTTTACCTATAACATTTAAATTTGTTTATAAGGACAAAAAAGACAAACTAGATATATCAGATTATCGACAATGGTCAATTGTCAGCTTGGGTCTTGAATTTGAGCCCTGATAGAGGAGGGTTTCCACATTGGGCTGATAACTGCAAAGTCAGCAGTTTGGAACCATCAGCCGCTTCATGAGAGAAAGCCCACTTGTCTTCTCCTATAAAGAGTTAGTCTTGGAAACTCACAAGGCAGTTCTACCTATCCTATAGAGTGGCTAAGAGTCAGAATCGATTCAATGACAGTAAGTTTGGGTGTTTTTCATTTCTTTGTATTCTTGGTAGGTTTTTTTTTTTCTTTTTAAAATCATTTTATTGGGGGCTTGTACAACTCATCACAATCCATCCATCCATCCATTGTCTCCAGCACATGTGCACATTTGTTGCCATCGTCATTCTCAAGGCATTTGCTTTCTAAGTAGATGACTTAAAATAGGAGTCTTGGAAGAAAAAGACGATTTGAAAGTGAAAAGGGGTCAATTTAGCTGATTTACTATCCAGGTCTACTGCAGGGAAGCATAAACCATATGAGCATAAGCCATATTTAGTTATAGGGTTCTCTATTTTCCTGATACCATAATAATAGCAATAACTATTATGGTAATCCAGTGTTGGGTTGTGTTTACAATGCACTTTCATATATTCACAGAATGTTTATGGGGTCTGTGGATGTAGAAAAAAGACAACTGGTATTGTCCCTGCTTTACTGACTGGAAAAATGACTCTTGAGAGCTAAGTCAATTGGGCTGTATGACCAATCAGTGAGGGGCTGAATTTGCCTGTGGCCTGCATTCTGGGTTGCCCATCACTCACCTGAGTATGCTGATTGGCAGTAACCAACATGTCTCCAAACACAGGTCCAAGGAAAACTCCACCATCATACAGTACACGAGTTGTTACAGCGGGGCTCATGCCAGTCAGATTTTCATCGGAGACCTGAGATGGTTACATTTCTGGTGAATTCTGTCATGGAACAGAAGTCTAAACCTGATCAAAGCAAATGATTACATATGTTCTGTTTGAGATAACCAGACAGCTAGAAAAGTGAAAATGGGGTGGCCTAAGACTAAACTCTAGAAACATAACAAACAGTAAGTAAAGTCTAATGAAAGCCCAGTAGACTAGTGGAATATTTATTGGCAATTGAAAGTACTGGAAGAATTTTTTTTTTTAAAAAGGTACTGAAAGAAACACAGCCCATCAATTTTTTCTGCAGGGTGAAATACTTTGCCTCTATGCACCTCTCTATTTTATGTGTGCTTGCAACCCAAAACATTAGAATAGAATGTAAAGAAAGCACACATTGTGAAATAAATGCAAAGGCCCCCCCATCTTTCCTTTCTTCACCCAAAGTGTCTTGTTTGAAAACCAGGTGACGGGAGTCAAATGTCATCTTGGGCTCCCTTTTACAACAACCGAGTGCTAGATGATCAGTAGCTTATTTTTTAAAACCCTAAATATGCAACTGCAGCTGGTTTTGTCATGACCCAAAGACAGCAAATCCTTCTCCAGACTTCCTTCTGCTGTGCCATCTGCCTCCAGGATAATCTACGTGGATCGCATCTGCTTAAATTGCTCAATCACAGCTGTAGCATTATTGTATGGTGGACACTGACCAACAGCTTCTCTACAGAAACTGAGTTAGGAGAGAAGATGGTGGGCTTAAATTGCTTCGTCAGGGATAGGAGACGCAAACCATTTGTTGAAAAATGTCCAAGAAAAAAGAGCACAGGACCCCGTGTCTTGATGGTTCCAACAAGAAGAACAATGCATAACTGTTTTCCTTTGTATAATTGCCTTATCTTTTTGTTTCACATAAATTGCTCAAAGGCACCAAGTATCCCTACCATCCAAAGGAAGATGGTACATACCCTGATGGAAACGGGTAAATCCCCAATTTGGGTGGACCAGGAGATGGTCCACACATGTTCATAGCACGAGTGCACATCTTCCTTCACCATCAAGTCGCTGGCACTGAGGTACGTGGATGTGAAGCTATCAATACTGTCTTGCAGGAGCTTGCGAAGGTGCCCAGCAGAAATGTGCACAGGGACACCTGGAAGGAAAGATTTTTATAGAGAAAAGACAAAGCACTAATTAGTCCATCGTGCAGTCTCATGACCATCTTGAGGCTAAAACATAGCTCAAGTCACTTTGGCAGAAGGCCCCTTATGTCAGCCGGGATCAAATTGTCAAAGGAGGGGGAAGGGATGCTGACTACTGAGTGGCTGCCATGCAAAGTTATGATGAGTATACATCCCCCTGACAGGTCAACATCCCTCTCAGAGGGATGAGGGATACTTATGAGAAAGTCAAGTGAGGAGAGGGGCAAGAGAGCAGGCACATCTGGGAGAACGCAAGTGCATGCCTGTTGGTAGAAAAGCGAAGGGGACTGACCTCCAAGAAGGGAAAAATGACAAAGAATATTTTTAAGGACCCTACATGGGGAGTATCCCTGGAAATATGCACTGCATAAGCCACATTGACCCCAGTTTCCGGGCACACCAGGGACCCAGGCCAAGTGCCACAGAGCACTCGTGCGCCGAATCACGGCTCTTCAAGGTACACAACATACTCTGAAGGCCACACGCACCACAGGGATCCAATGTGGAAACTCAGCTAGGTGGACTGGACTCTCCCTCAAACACACCTGTAACCTGAGGTCTTCAGACTGAAAATTCATGGTGTTTGAAAAAGCAGAAGACAGCTATACCAAAAGTCTTGAAGCGTAGGTAGATGGACAATTATTGACTTACTAGTAAGATATATATTATTCCAGCAAACCTGTGACTGACATTGTCAGTGGATATTATTATAAATTTTCCCTGATAACCAACTCCTCTTTTTTGTAGAAATGGCATCCACCGAGGAAAGGATTGATTCTACGCAAGTAAACAATTCAGGTATTGTGATAGGGAGTTAGCCTACATTGGCCCAATATCTCTTTCTCAACAGGGCTTTAAAAAATTAGTAGCATGGGGCTAATCAATGACAGTATTATATTAGTGGGATATCTTTGTGCCACAGGGAGATGATTGATAAAGTCTCCCAACCATAAATTAACCAGGAGGTCTGTAAAGGGAGCCAACGGCAGATTAAACAAACATAGACCCATAAATGGATTTGGATCTTGCACTAAATCCAAATTAAGAACAATCAGTTCTTACATCATGGCCTTGCTCAATAGTCACCCTCAGGAAGGCAACGCAGAAGATACGTATGCGTGCTATAGCAAAATGTGGTGAAGAAATTAGAAGGTGCCTGGCTACAGATAAAATGGCATCTGGGGTCTTAAAGACTTGTCTCCAAACAAGCAGCCATTTAAGTGAGATGTCAACTTAGTCCAGATAGCAGAAGCACACCATCCTCAGTCACCAAAGGATTGTGAAGCATATCATCCAAAGTCAGAGGAGGGAACAGTGTCAGAGCCTAAATTGTGAGATTCTGGCTTACTGAAGGCTGGGGATGACACTGGAAGCCCAAGGTACATTGATGAGACCTACACAGGAAGTTAAGTCTCCTGTGACTTCCCTCTATCCATAATAGCGGGGTGTGAAAAATCTGGTAACTAAATGGTGCATTGGAGAGAAGTCTATAGGAGATCAAAATGATAAACCTGAATTGAATGATTAATTCCCTTTGTGATGCACGTTGGGCCTGATCTGGTTTTCAACATTTTCTGATTTTTGTTTTGCTTTGTTTTCCTATTGGAGTTTATCTCTGATGTATTTTGTCATTGGGGGTAACCCTCTTGAAATTTTGTTATGTTTTTCTGGTTTTTGTTTTTTTGGTGTATGAACCCCAGGATTGATGAACCTATAGAGACAGCAAGTAGAACAAGGTCTCCTGGGGGTACATTGGGGGG